CCATGGTTTTGGGGGAAACCATGGTTTTGGCCCCAAAAACCTTGGTTTGAGAAAAAGCTACCCGGAGCTGCTTCTTCCTTCAGATTATTGATCGTTGGTGGTGGGCCCAGTAACAAGAGCAGGCGTCAATTATTATTTCTTGAGTCTCGATTTCGCTCTGAATAAAACAAAGCTTCGGTCCTTCACTCTCGGCGCTTCGCTCTGAAGAAAACTTCGCTCACCGATCCTTCGCTCGCTGATCCTTCGCACATCAGAAAACAAACTATTCAACTGAAGCTATACATTTGCTGCTGTCAGATAGCGGCCTGAATCATAAACTAAAGGATGAGATACAAGAGATTCGAGCGCTGATCTTTTCTACGAGGGACTTGGAAATTTTTCACTGTTACAGAGAATGCCTGAAGTGCACCTATACTCTTGCCAGATTGGCTCAAGGTTTGACCCAGGACAATCAAGAGCTCTTGACGCCGCCAAATGCTTGTCGGACCCAATTTCAGAAGGACTGTGGCAATAGGCCAAGAGTTTCTATTAATTGCTGAATTGTGATGTTTTAAAACTCTCGAGCTCTGCTTGCTGTTTTATGTTTAAAAAAAAAACAAAGAAGAGAGAGAGAGAGAGAGAGATAAGACCTGGTTATCCCCTCCGTCAATGGAAACTGTTGGGGAGGGAGATTGTTCACACCGTATGTACGTGATGAGTAGAATATCAAAGAATACAATGGAAAAAATAAATGAATTAAAAACTTAAATATTAAATTGAATAAATACCAATTGAAATCCAATTGAATTTAATTCAAATGTTCTCATGAGGGTTTGATTTCAAAATCTGGTTAAGTATTAATTACCATACTTTGGCCTAATCTGAGTGATACAAATATATAAAGAGTGAAGAGAAATTACTTTTAAAATAAAAAATTAATGTAAACAAATGATTCTTGAACTTCAAGAACAAAATAGGATCTAGAATTATTTATTCTCCTTATATTTATTAACATTCAATTCACCTTTTCTCATAAAAGCTTTTAATGAAAATATGTGTTAGGGGATGGCTCAACTTCGTGACTCCATAAGAGATCAAATTGTTCACTATATACAAGAATAGTCATGTCTTTCTTATTTCCTCTTTTCTTTTTAGATAATGTAATGTGTTGTTAAAAAAAACTACTTGGACAAATATATTTCGTTACAATCTCTATTATTAAGACAATTAATATGAAATTTTTTTGTGTGGTTATTTCATTTTATGAAAAAAATTATGGGATTTCATCTTTAAGAAATAATAATATTTTTTTTGGCAAAATAAATAATTTTCCTAAAAACATATTTAATTATATTATTAATATATATATACATATTAATTTTTTATTATTTATATTATTTATGTCTTATTTATTATGTTGCCAAAATATATATTATTAACAAATTTATTACTTCAAATAAACATATATTATGAAATATATCTTACATGTAATTATCATTTAAACTTATATCCTTTTTAGTAATTTCTACATATCAAAAAGCACTTCTGACAATAATTATCCAAACACTCTCACTTTATCAGAATCACTTTTCAAAAAAGCTATTCTTTTAAAATCTATTCTCTGCAAAATCTATTCTCCAGAAGCTATTCTCCAAACCATGGTTTTGCCTTATCCAAACACCCCCTATATACTATGAGAATTATTTAATTTAATTAGAAATAATTTGAATTCAAATTATTCAGTCACCTGAGCACGCACGTCATAAGTTCATAGTCATATCATGCCCACTGAATACTTCTATACGTAACATAGATCATGATCTTATGGCATATCGGTGATATTAATTTATTCTTATAGTATTATAAATTATGATTATTGGCATTTTTATTATTAATCAATACCATATGCTATCATTTAAGTCACTTTATTCACGTCTTCTCATTTTTTGGCTAGTCATCTTTCCCAATTAAAAACAATGATACAGTAAATTTATAATTTCGAATTTACGATTTAATATTGCAATTATTATGGGTGAAATTAGCAACTTGGGACTCTAATGCGAAATGTTTATATATCGTTGTTGTTTATATTTGATGGGTTGGGGGGCATGGGGATGCGCAAATTAAATGAACATGTGGCATTTATGATGATATTTATTTAAGAGTATAGTGACGTTGAAGCGAGTTTCACATATATTAGATAGTTTTAAAGAGACGGGAACGAAACACTATGACCTTAATTCCAACGCCATGTTTTCTAGCAACACCGGTTAGGATATACAGTGCTCCCTCTGGCTCAAAATATAAATCAAATTTTATTCATTTATGTTTATTAAGAAACTAATTAAAATCAATTTAAAATAATAAATATGTAAAGCATATATTTGTTTTTTCTAATATATTTTTATTAATTAAGAGAATAAGTAAAAGATGTAATAAATGAATTAAAAAGGGAAGAGAATATATTTGGGTAAAATTGGAAAAAACTCATTAAATGTTTGAACAGAAGTGAATGTTATCTTATAAAAAAATTAATATTTTTAAGAAACTTTAGCTTATACTACCTCCGGTCCTTAATATAAGACCCTGTTTGATTTTTATTTTGGTCAAAAATATAAGATCTCAATTCACTTTGCCTCTCATATTTATATATATTTTTTCAAAGTAGCCCTTCTAACAATGATAGTTCTAATTAATACACTTAATTAGTAAGGATATTTTAGAAAAGACAACACCTATTTAAGACAAATAACTAACTCAACTTACTTTCTCAATCTCTTCAAATTAGTCAATTAGCTCTTATAATTAAGACTGGAGGTAGTATTTTGAATTGGAGGCAGTACTATTTATCTTAATTTTAACGTCATCTTAGAGCAATGAAATGTTTTAGTGAAGGTATTTGGAAATTTTTAAGCCATACATACGAACGTAAATAAATCTGTCTTTGATCTGCCTTTGATACAGTTGGTTCATAATGGGTATGATTTCGTCGAAAACATCGTGAAGTTAGCTATTTTTAGCTGGTAAAAAAAAAAAGAGAAGCTATTTTTAAATATGATATTCCATTTCAATCGTCATCAACCGTCAGCATGGAATGTCAAAATGATTAAAAAAAAAAAGGCATACTGTTTATACGGGACAACCAATACTTGGATTAATTTCAAGCACACCTTTTTTTTTGGCCAAAGATTAATTTCAAGCACGTCAATCCTAGCTTTTTCAACCAGAAAAAAAAAACCCTGGCTGTCTCCAATGTCAATGAGAAAAAACTTTTGCCCATTTCCCCAATATCAGCAGGTGTGTTGCAGGAAAAAAATTTAATTTTAAATATAAGCCATTTAAATTTTTATTGAAAAAAAATAGATATGAAAATAATTTATAAATATTGAGAGTAAGAGAACTTTAATAAGAATAAAACTAATTTTTTTTATCAATTTAATATATTTATTAATATGTAAGAATATATTACAAATAATTTATATTAAAGACTCTGAAAAAATGAATAGTAAAATTCACGGGTTGATACTGCTAGGCTGCTAGCTGTTAACAAGGGTTCATGGATTAGGGCAAAATAAAACCGAAAATCTCACACACACACCCAAATATTATGACCGTCCTGTCCATCGTTCAAACCTAGCTGTCATTTCCAATACTTTCATGTACTATTCTAATATTATTTTTATTATATTTTAAACATATTTATATAAATTAAAATTTTTTTGAATTACATTAACTCTTTGTTAACATATAATAGTTTTTTAATTTTATTCTTATTTATTATATATTTTTCAAAAGAAAAAACCATTTATAATATAATAAATAATAAAATAATATATTTATCCAAAAAATTTAATAAAATGATTTATAAACAAGATTATAAAATTTTTTTTTTGTCTACTTTATAAATAAGAACGAAGGATTATATTATCTTCCTGCTCTTTTATTGTTCCTCACAGCTTCACACACATACACAATATTATATATATATATATATAAAATTTTTAGTTATTCCAGTATATTACCTCTGGTTCTATTTGTCATATTTCATCTGTAATCTACAAACAAAATTTTATAAATAAGACATGAGGTAACATATCTTAATTTTTTCTGTGAGTAGCCCAAGTGCGTTTTAAGAAGGCAGATTCCACCTTACTTTATTATCATATTCATTCGGTCCTCTCGTTACATGTTTCCTTGAGAGCCAGATCAGGGTCAACTTGATACCATATTTCAATATAATTCAAATGAACTTTCATGAGTTCCATCACATTGCAATGTTTTTAATTTGTTCGCCTGCATATTTCATTGCAACGCCCTACCTTTTTTTTTTTTTCCCCAGAGATAAACTTTTATATGTGATTAATAAATAATATCGTTTTTTTTAATAAATATTACGTTATTTTTTTTTGGGCCAAAAATCATATTATCACATTTGAAGTACTACAACCTTTTGACTGGTGAAAAAGAAAGAAAGAAACGCCGGAAAGGAAAGAAGTACCGACATTTTATTAAAGGACACAATCCTATCCTTAATTTAATACGTACGTACGCGTGGGCGTTTCCCGCCAATGGTTCGCACCCGGGTCATAATCATAGTCTAATTCCTTTATTTAGTATAATATGATTTTTTTTATAACAGTATAAAATGATTTAATCAACGCAGTAATATTACATTTACACGTCATCAACATATACATTGCAGTTTAATGAATTTTTACTAAGATAAATAGATGTTATAGTTAAATGAACTTTGTTTAATAAAAAAATTGAACTTAAAATTGTCCACAGCAAATGCATTGAACCGGTGTAAAATGAAAAATCTAGTTTTTGCCAACGAAAAATCTAGTTATTCGAACGGAAGGACGACTCCTGACACTGTTCACGACAGTAAAATACTAAAATGAAATCTCACTAGAATCTTTTGATTTTAAAATCATTTAAAACTGTAAAATCCTTCCAAAATCCCAACTCAGCTATCTTTTTTCTGCCTCAGAATTTCGAACTCACTACTCAGTACTTGCCCAGTTCTCCATTCTCTCACCTTCTTGCTCTGTAGCAGAGCACTCAGAGTCTCAAACTCTCTCTCTCTCTCTTCTTCTGCAAATAAATTCATCCCTGAGCAACGGTCTGTTTCTTCATTCCTTTGCTTTTGCCACAATGCTTCCCCTGTTCTTTCTACTGTGTTTTCTCTTCCCGCCTCCCTCTGTCGTCTCTCTCAACCAGGATGGTCTCTACCTCTACAAATTCAAGCTCTCCATGAATGATCCTGACTCTTCCCTCTCCTCCTGGAATGACGGCGACGCCCACCCCTGTTCATGGTCCGGCGTCACCTGCGACCCCACCAACACCTCCGTCACCGGGCTTGACCTCTCCAGCTCCAATATCGCGGGCCCACTCCCTGCTTCCATTCTCTGCAACCTCACCAACCTCACCACCCTCATCCTCTACAATAACTCCATCAACGACGCCCTCCCCTCGGAAATCTCTCTCTGTCGCAGTCTTGTTCGTGTTGACCTCGCCCAGAACCTTCTCACCGGTGCTCTGCCCCCCATCTTATCGGATCTTCCTAACCTCCGGTATCTAGACTTGACCGGCAACAACTTCTCCGGCCTCATACCCGATTCCTTTGCCAACTTTCAGAAGCTCGAGGTACTCTCACTCGTCTACAATCTTCTAGAAGGAACCATTCCCGCTTCTCTCGGAAACATTTCCTCCCTCAAGATGCTCAACCTCTCTTACAACCCGTTTTCTCCGGGTCGGATCCCTCCAGAGCTCGGCAACCTGACGAATCTCGAGGTCATGTGGCTCACACAGTGTAACTTGGTTGGCGTGATTCCTGAATCGTTCGGCAGGCTGAAGAAACTCAGGGATTTAGACCTGGCGTTGAACAATCTCGATGGTTCGATTCCCAGTTCTCTCATTGAGATGACGAGTTTGAAGCAGATTGAGTTGTATAACAACTCTTTGTCCGGTGAGTTGCCTCGGGGAATTGGAAACCTCACGGCATTGAGGCTAGTGGACGTAGCCATGAACCGGTTGAGTGGGACGATTCCAGACGAGTTGTGTCGGCTACCACTGGAGAGCCTTAACCTTTACCAGAATCAGTTTGAGGGTGAGTTGCCGGAGAGCATAGCTGACTCACCGAATCTTTATGAACTCAGATTGTTTGCTAACAAACTGACCGGAAAACTGCCTGGTAATCTCGGAAAGAATGCTCCTTTGAGGTGGGTTGACGTTTCGAACAATCAATTTTGGGGCGAAATTCCGGCGACTCTGTGTGACAACGGGAAATTGGAAGAGCTTCTGATGATATACAATTCGTTTTCTGGTAACATCCCGCCGAGTTTGGGCAGGTGTCGGAGTTTGATGCGTGTCCGGCTCGGTTTCAATCGGCTGTCCGGTGAAGTCCCGGCGGCTATTTGGGGGCTTCCACATGTGTATCTGCTTGAACTCACTCATAACTCATTTTCTGGTTCAATCGCTAAATCTATTGCTGGTGCCGGGAATCTCTCGTTGTTGTCTCTATCTAAGAACAATTTCACCGGACAGATCCCTGAAGAGGTTGGATGGTTAGAGAACCTTGAGGAATTCTCTGGTGATGATAACATGTTCAATGGATCATTGCCTGCTAGTATAGTGAATCTTGGGCAGCTTGGGACTCTTGATCTTCATAACAATAAACTTTCAGGTGAGCTTCCCAAGGGAATTCGATCCTGGAAGAAACTCAATGAGCTTAATCTGGCAAATAATGAGATCGGTGGAAGTATTCCTGACGAAATTGGGAGTTTGTCCGTGCTAAATTTTCTTGATCTTTCCAATAATCAATTTTCCGGGAAAGTTCCTCTTGAATTGGAGAATTTGAAGCTCAATAGGTTAAATATGTCTTACAATCATCTCTCTGGAGAACTTCCTCCTCTGTTGGCGAAGGATATGTACATGACAAGTTTTCTGGGTAATCCTGGTCTGTGTGGCGATTGGAACAGTTTATGTAATGGCAGAGATGAAGCTAAGGCAAGAGGGTATTCTTGGTTGCTTCGAATTATTTTCATCATTGCTACTGTTGTCTTTGTTGTAGGCGTTGTCTGGTTTTATTTCAAGTATAAGAACTTTAGAAAGGCCAAAAGAGCCATTGACAAATCAAAATGGACATTGATGTCATTCCATAAACTGGGTTTCAGTGAAGATGAAATTCTGAGTTGCCTTGATGATGACAGTGTGATAGGTAGCGGATCATCTGGGAAAGTTTACAAGGTTGTTCTTAGCAATGGGGAGGCCGTTGCTGTAAAGAAGCTGTGGGTAGGCATAAAAAAAGACATGGAGAGTGAGGATATTGAAAAAGGTGGTGTTCAAGACAATGTTTTTGATGCTGAAGTTGAAACCTTGGGTAAAATTAGGCACAAAAACATAGTGAAGCTTTGGTGTTGCTGCACCACAAGGGACTGCAAGCTCCTAGTTTACGAGTACATGCCAAATGGCAGTCTCGGCGATTCACTTCATGGAAGTAAAGGTGGGTTGTTGGACTGGCCAACAAGGTATAAGATAGCCCTTGATGCTGCTGAAGGTCTCTCTTATCTGCATCATGACTGTGTTCCTCCAATTGTTCATAGAGATGTTAAATCCAACAATATCTTGTTGGATGGTGACTTTGGTGCGAGAGTGGCTGATTTTGGTGTAGCCAAGGTTGTTGAAACCAATGGGAAAGGAACCAAATCCATGTCTTTCATTGCCGGCTCTTGTGGATACATTGCGCCAGGTTGGTTTTATTCGTACCTCTCACTATTAAAACTTGTGCTTAAACTATGATTTAAATATTTTCGTTGGTTAGAATGTACATGATTCATCTGAACACCGAGTTGGAACCAAATTTTCAAAACTTGTTTTGCTTGGCTAAATGATTCTTCTTTATTTGGATATGCAAATGTAACACTTAAGTACCATGTTCTAGTTGTGTTCTGAAAGAATTAGAGCTTTACATGATGAAATTTGCATTCTTTGATTGTAAACAGAATATGCATACACACTGAGGGTGAATGAGAAGAGCGACATATACAGCTTTGGTGTGGTGGTACTTGAGTTGGTGACCGGAAGGCGACCGGTTGAGCCAGAGTTTGGGGAAAAGGATTTGGTGAAGTGGGTTTACACCACCTTGGACCAGAAAGGAGTGGACCATGTGATCGACTCGAGGCTGGATTCTTGTTACAAAGATGACATATGCAAGGTTCTTGACATTGGCCTCATGTGCACTAGTTCTCTTCCCATCAACCGCCCTGCCATGAGAAGAGTGGTCAAGATGCTGCAAGAGATGGGCTCAGAGAACCAAACCAAGTCTATCAGGAAGGATGGCAAGTTGTCCCCTTATTACTGTGACGATGCCTCAGATCATGGGAGTGTAGCCTAATTCTAGTTCTTCTAATTGACTAGAGTTAGATAGCTTTGTTCCAGAAAAAAGGGAGTTTTAAGCCCTTTTTAACTCCACAGAATTTGGAAGAAAGAGACCTAGATGGTCTTCTTAACATAATGAAATGGACGTTTAATTCTGTCAAGAAGTCTCCGCTTTCCACTGTTTAAAGATGTGTTATTTCGCAGGATTGGATTAGGTCTAAGGATTGTAAAAAATCAGTGGCTTCGAATGGGCTACTCACCACAGTAAATGTCAGTTGAATCCCCAGGATTGGTACTAATGTCAGTTCTACAATTCTATATCTAATAACATCTTAGAAGTTTGATGAATCTACAACTTGGCAGAACTAAACCGACTTATATTTCTAGTTCCTTAAGTATCATTTCAGTATATCGTCGAGGTTAGAAAGGAGCAGAGGGAATGAAGGGTAAATGGTTGTAGTGTTGTACTGTGGATGCCTGCCTGCAAATAATAAAGTCAGTCTCAGGCATGGGCTGGGAACAGCTAGCTATGATAAGTATAGGTATGATAAGTATATATTCATACGGGTAAGGATTCATACAGGTAAGGATTAAATGAGGGTAGTTAGGTGTCTCTCATTTATGAGTTGCAAGAATTTCATCCGCCTGTGCTACCCCCTGCTATGCATATATTGAAACCTCAGGTGTTATGTATCCTTTGGGAAAAGGACTATGACTCAGTCCATCTATTATCATATGAGTACGGACTACCAATCCCATCCAAACAAGTTACATTTTGGTGCTTTTGAATGAACGCTCTTTTGCTTCTACTCAATTTATGATTCGTTCCGTGTCAACCACTGTACTGTACTGAATTCTGCGTCAACCATTTATGAGGGAGGAGGCTTCTTGCTTAATTAAAGTCCTCACTACAACTGGCTACAATGGAATGAGCAACTCTTGTTACTTTCTTCTTTGCTTTTCCTTTGGTGATCACTACACCCACAGCGGAATAATGGAGTATAGCTTAGACGAACTTTTCTCAGTTCATCTTAACAACTTCACCCAACCCCAGCTTTGACCGTTTAAAAATTCCTCAGCGGTTGCTCAGCGGATGTAACGATTTGTTCAAATTGAGTGTTGGAGGTAATTCATCTTTAAATTGTAGCTACCTCCCTTTATACAGTAATTTAATACTCCTTCCGTTTCTTATTATAAGAGACGAATAACCGAATTACGTTGATAAAAAAAACAGTTAAAATTAGTTAAAAACAATCAATATGTAAAAAATATAATTTTTTTTAAAAAATATCCTCATTAATAAGGAGAGAGAGCATGAGAGAGAACAATTAAATTATTGAAAGAAAGAGAAGTGGGAGGGAGAGAGTGAGTTGGAGACAATAAATATGGGTAAAATAGGAAATCAACGCAAAAAAGTAGAGACAACTTTTAAGTGTCTCTTATAAAGAGAAACATGCCATAAGCATCAAATGTTTCTTATAATAAGAAATAGAGAGAGTACTTTTGATTGGTCACCTCGCTTTTATCATTCCTCAGCAAGATAGCAACCTTGTTCACATCCTCCATCAAGCGATGCATGCAATAAGATTAGGGAAAATTAATATGCTGGTCCTCATAGTATAATCAGATTTTGAATCAGGTCCTTCAATTTATTTTTCTTCTTATTGGATCCTTTTGCTTCACTATCTTCAAGATATAAGTCCTTCCATTAACAAGTTTCAAACACCGTTAATACAGAGGATGTATGATGAGGCAACAAATCATAGCTTTATCTTCGAATTCACCATGACCAATTCGAAGACATTGAGAAGGAGAAGGAGGGGGCTCCTTCTTCAACTGGGTCTATTTCTTCATCAGTATCGGCACTCTCATCTGTGCTTTTGTGGATCCAGGACAATGTCAGGTGAGGATTGGGGTTCGGCATTCCGACGGTGGCAATGGCCATCATGATAGTTTGCTTCTTTTCGATCGGGCTTTAGACTGAGGCTGATAGAGTCTACCGATGGATCTATAAGGTCAACCATATTTGTATCTGCTTGTTTAGCTCGACCATATTTCTTGTATTTTCCTGTTTGCCTTTTGTTTTGTGTAATATGGATTCACACTTTAACAGGCAAAATTTCTGTTTGTGTAATATTGATTCACACTTCAACAAGCAAAACAAAAATCTTCTTATTAGAACATGAAATTTGCACTCCTAGAAAATTTTCACTTTCATAATTAGTCTGGGTGTGGTTTCTAGTTATTAGGTGCTTTGATTCTAGCGGCTTCGCATCTTTCATATGATACACTGTTTTGTTTTATGCTACAGGGAGGAGGAAGAGATGAAACTGAGGCATAGATGGAGAGAAGCGTGAAAAGACAGAGAAAAGAATGAAAGAGAAGAATGGAGAGAGAGAGAGAGAGAGAGAGAGAAAGTGAGTGGAGGAAAGATTTGTCCACATGTGAAGCATCATTAATGCCTTTTCAGCGGGAATTAACGGCGTTAAGAGCAAATATTAACAGGGTAATATCTTGAAAATAGTAAAACATAAGGATCTAATAAAAAATAATAATAATTGAGGGACCTCATTCGAAATCTGACGATATTATAAGGACCCACAAATTAATTTTCTCCTAAGATTATATGCTCTTGATCCCTCTATGGGCTATGGCTCTTTCGCAAGGCCCAAATGAGCCCAAGAGAAAATGATGGATTCCCTGTTTTTTTTACCCGCGGAAAATGATGGATTCGATGGGCGTCATGTTAGCCCAATCAAAAGTAGGCTTTTGAGCTAATCATCATCTCTCTTCTATTACTATTTGGGCCAATAACATACGAACAATTTATGCTTGAAGGAGTTAATTTTTTACAATATCGTAAATCAAAGTTTAAATTCCAACTGAAAGAGAAGCTCATATATAATGTTTGATAGCGTTTTAAATAGAATTGTTTACAATAGTAGGATAACAATACTTAGAAAAAAAATTACGGTTATTAATTATTTCCATTCTGATTCCTAAGTTTCATTAGTATCACTAAAACATTTGATTTATTCTCTTAAAAAATAAATAAAATAATGCTCCCCCAAGCGGAGAGACTTGCAAAACGTTAAAGAAAAATTAAACAAAACATGTGTGGAAAAAATTATATTAGTCTAAACATTCTTATAGATGAGATTATGAATAAATAAATGACAGCAAATGTTGCGACGTGGAGGCTAAAGCATGATTCAACCTGACAATAATGTGATCAATATAATACGTTCAGTGTGGGAAACACACTTTATTAACATATAATCTATGTACTCACAAACAAACAAAGCCAACAGAATTATTATTAAATAAAAAATGAAAAAGGAAGCAGCAGAAACTTGGGTAACAATTAACTCATCGTGGGATCGATCCACCAACATCACGGACACCAACATTAACTATTGGTGACCAGAACATATATAAACTACAAATATCATGCTGGGTGTTTGTTGTAACTAAATATGCTTTGCACGAGAACTTTTAGATTAGAATACAACTAAGATTGTGTCTTCATCTCACATAGTGGATGCACCAAACCTGCATCATAACACAGCTATCACTCCTTTGTTCAACTTTAATCTAACTTGGATTCCCCTTCCATTATCATGTCTTCTTTTTGCAGAATTTAAGGAACAGCAATGTGGCTGAAGATTCCAAGTTTCATACATACCCGACCAAAATGCAAAGGATGACAATTTTATATCACCACCTCAGATCAATCATACGCAGACAATGCACACACGTACACATGAATGATATTTTTTTAATGGAATCGATTATCTTTTAGATTTCTGTTGCTTAATTGACCGAGTTTATGCGAAATCCTTTAGATATCAATGTGAAAAAGACACCTCGTCACATATTACAGCTTGTCAGAAAAACACATTCTGATGTTTAAAAAAAAAAAGAGAGAGGGAGGACGGCCAACGATACATGAACCACTTTAACTAAATCAAATTGTAAGCTTTCAACTTTCTCACCAATCCACACTCGTTTTGTCAAACGCTGTGAGATGTTCTGTTTTGTCTTCAAAGCCTTGATCTCTCACCAACTTTGTTAACTCTCATATATATTCCACTTTTCCACGCTTCTTTGACAAACCCACTCTATCTCCCACCTCCTCTTCCCTCCCTTCTCTCTCCATTTTTCTTCTTCAACACTTCACAAAAATGAACCATCTTATTCCTAACCATATTGCCTACGATTTGGTTATGCTTGGTCTATCAATATCCCTCGTCGTCCTCGGCATAATCCTCTTCCTCGCCTGCAAAAAGAAACCAGTAGAATCCGAAGAAACACTCCCTGTAAAAATCTGTGCCCGTCCATACCCATTAACGGACATCGACGGCGCCACCGACGGCTTCAACCACCGGAGAATTGTAGGCAAGGGTCGACTTGGAACTGTGTACGCAGGATTACTCGGCAAAGAAGAACTCGTAGCAGTCAAAAGGATTCACCCTTCGCTTGTTCTGAGCAACGCAGGACTTGGGTTCTCCTCTGTGATGAAATGGCTCTCATCAGCACAACACCCCAACATAGTTCCCATCACTGGTTTCTCAGAAGCCGCCGGCGAGAGAATCATAATAAGTGAATTCGTGAGAATGGTAAGCCTGGACTTCTATCTGCATCAAAACCCAAGTGGGGCTTCGCTTTTGGATTGGACAAAGAGGCTGAGAATCGCAGCAGGAACAGCAAGAGGACTTCAGTATCTGCACGAAGTGGTTGCACCTACCATAGTTCATGGCTGCGTCAAGTCCTCCAACATCCTCATCGATGTCAACTTCTGTGCCAGAATTTCAGACTATGGACTCAACTTTCTTGCACCGAAAGAGAAGAGAGGGATAGTGGGGCACGTGGATGATGAGTATTGGGAGCAAAAATTTGGTGGTGCAAGTAAGGAAAGTGATGTTTATGGATTAGGGGTGGTTTTGCTAGAGGTTTTGAGTGGAAGGAGCTGTGAAGAAGGGTTGCTAGTGAAGTGGGCAGTGCCAATGATAAAAGCTATGAGATATAGTGAAGTTTTGGACCCAAGATTGGTGATTCCTTCAGATTTGAAGCCACTTGTGAGATTAGCTAAAGTTGCTTTGGCTTGTGTGGGTAATTCTAGGACGTGTAGGCCTTCCATTTCTCATGTAGTAACTATTCTGAACAATTTAGAGGTTGAGGTATGCATGTGATTTGATATGTCAGCACTTGAAAGTATATGTAATTTTATTAAACTTTTTTCATTATATCTTGTGTATACAAATAGGTAGATCAAAATTTATACATATAAATTGTTAATGGAAAAATCATGTCTCATAAATCCTGCCATTAATTATTCGCATGAGTGCGTCTTTTTTTAGGGGAGTTCATCATTTTTGTTTCTGTCAAGATTGCACACCACATTATCAGTTTTTAGGCTAAATTATATACTGACATATTACTCTAGTTTTTAATATAAAAACTAGTTAGATATTTAATTTGATTCTAAATATAAGATCTCAATTTACTCGATTTGTTATATTTATACATTCATAACACGAAACCAAACCATTTAGTAGAGCATGTGACACTTCAACTTGGTCTTTAATTCTTAAAACACTTGCAAATAAGATATATTTTTATATTATGCCACCTCTAATTCTAAATATAAAATCAGGTTGCAAATTAGATCATTTAATATTTAGAACAGGAGATAATATGACATATAGTATTTATAGCCTGTTAGAATAAAAATTTCTTATAATTTTTGTATATTTAGATGATAACCAATGGAGATATCTCATTTTCTTTATATCTTTTGTTTTCTTTCATTGGTCTTATTTTTAGAGTTGGTAATTAGGGCTCACCTGTTAGTTATGGGTTGGCTCGTGGCGGGCTCAAAAACTGACGGGCCAGTCCTAAAAGAAGACTTCTGGCGGGCTGATATTTTTCCAACCTAGCCCGCCAGGCTAACCCGCCAACCGGCCATTTTTTTCAAAAAAATTTTGTGCCTTTTTTTTTCTTTTAATAAAATTTATTTTAATTCTCAACAAGAAACAAAAAATCAGATCGGACACTAAACTGGTTGAGATAGTGGTTTGAAAGTTAATGAGTCAGATCGGGATCAAATCGATCATATTAAAATAATATAATTTAATTAAAAATGACAAAATATAACAATACTAATAATCATTAATAACAAAATATAAAGAAATACAACAAGAATTTGATGGTAATAATAATAAAGTATAATAATATTGAGAATTTTGGTCTTTATCATTCTTTAATTACTAAAATTAACAGTCATTGATATCAAAATCATCATTAAAATTCATTTAAATTTATAATAATTGAGATATTAGGAGCTGAATAAGAAAAAATAGAATAAATATTAATATACTTATTTAAACCGGTTCAATACCGGGTCACACTGGTTTTTACCGATTTTTACCAGTTTATACCGGTTTGACCAGTTCAATCCGGTTTGAACTGGTTCCTGATTTAGCCTATGAATCAGACCAGACCATTGACCAGTTCGCCGGTTGCACCGGCCGGTCCGATCCGTTTTTTTTCCCCCACTGATTCTTAAACACCTAAAACAAAATATGCATATAGAAATTATCATAAATAAAATATGAAATCCAAAGTTCTAAACATTCCAAAATACTATTATAAGCATACATGATATATCATCCTAAATCATTAAACATACATCCCAAATTAAAACATAACAAATTTGAATTAATAATGATACGAATCACTATCAAGTGCTTAACTATAAGCTACCATTCAATGTTGCTATAATTTAAAGAATGATATGAAGATGTGAAATTATTTGGCTAAGCTTCATAAGTAGAATCACCTTTTTTTTTGCTCAACTAACTTTGCCATAAGTAAAATTCATAATACAAAGTAAATGATATACTTCTCCGATCCTTAATATAAGACCCATTTAACTAATTTGATTAGATTAAGAAAATTAGGTAAGTTAGTTAATTATAAGACAAGTGACACATTTTTCCTAAAACACTATAATCATATTTCTTAATATCTCGTCTCCCTCTTGTACTTGATTATGGTTAAGGGAGTATTTATAAGGATAATTTAGAGAAAATTGATAAATATGAGAAATGGATTTTATATTTAAAACCAAAACCTACTCAAGAATTGGGTTCTATATTAAGGACCGGAGGAGTATTACATTATGGTAATTTTAAATAATAAGAATGAGATAAAGGACTAAAGAAGTAAACATAATTATAATTGATGGAGGAAAAATATTTTAAAAAAACAAAAAAAAAGGGCCAGCCCGCCAACCCTGCTGATTAGCCCGTTGTGGGTTCAGTCTTAACGGTTACAAACTCAAAAAATCCGTTTTAAAACAAGTTTGATTTTCATCAACCTAACCCGCTACTTCTTGGCCGGTTGGCGGGTTAAGCCCGCAAGCTTAACCTATATCACGGGCTCTACTTATTTTATTTCACAATTTTATACGATATTCTAAGTTAATTTATTTAAGAAAAAGATTTGAACATGACAAAAAAAATAATTTATTCATTTTTATTATTCGATTTAGAGGGGAGGGAAGGTAGGTGCGATTACTGGTAGAAGAATTGACTTTGATTTTGAAAATGACAGACGCAAGCCCAATAACTGCAAATGAAAAAAGGTGGGATTTGTGGTTACAAGAGGTCATAAAAGTTTGGTGGATTTTTAACCCTTCAATCTCACGAGAAGCCTTTCAATTGCTTCCAATTGTGACAGCTTCTGAAATTCACCGATTCTGCAATTCATTTTCTTGGGTGGTCAATTGTTGACAATAGAAAATATGGGTTCGTGGCTTTGTTATAAGACCCTCAATATTTATTTAATTCCTTTTTTAAATATCTTAATCACAATTTTAATTTTTTTTGTTTGTTTTCTTTTTTGCATCTTCATGTAATTACTGTTAATCTTACCCAATGATAAAGAAATTAATGTATTGAATCAATGGAATGATTATTTATGTTACAGTTTATAATACAGGCTAGGATGTTTCATCGATGATTAATTTTACATTTTCTTATCAGTTATGCGCTGAAAAATCTGGCATATACGTTTTTAATGATTTTTTTTGTTTTTTGTTTTAATGTTTCATGTGTTGATAAAACACGGTATATGTTGCATTATGTTGTCACAGATATAAATGCGCATGAGTTATGGAAGAAATAACTTGATAATATGATTATATGAGCACAATACCGTATAATACAAATTATTGTTTTTTGCTACCAAAAAAATTATTGTTTTTTAAGGAAATTTGTGACATGGAATACAGGTTAAAGATGGTATGTTGGCATCATATATAAAAGCATTTGGGTGGATTCATAAAAACATTTGAAATCAATGAATGGCTAGCCCATGGTGAAAGACTAACGTATAAAAATGATGCAACTAACAGAAAGCAGGCAGATATGCCTCCTGCTTGTAGCGGGTCAGATGCCTTGGTTAAAGAACCAAAAGAATTTAATTTAGAGGTCAATCCAGAAATTCTTGAAGGTCTTTGAGTTCTAGCGAGCCAAGAAGGACGTCAAAACCCATAAAGGATTTCCTAGCTGGCACTATCATTTTAACAAAACGTATTGACTAGGCTAATCTTTTGAAAAGGAACTAAAATTTGAATTCTCATTTAAAAAAGTGTTCACATTTAGTATCTTACGGTACTTCAAATACACGTCTTAGTTAAAAAAAAACCAAAAAAAGCACCATGGGCCTCTGAAAAGGGGGAAGTGGAAAGAAAGACAAGGTGAACAAGAGAAAGAAGAAATAGATTTCACTAGACCTCCCCAGTATTTTTGGCGCTCCCCTAACTGGCCCCATCATCGGTATTGGAGTGGAGGTTCAAAAGAATGCCAAGTATGGAGATGATGGCCCAAGCAGCCCCCCATTATTGTACCAATTTGGAGTAGAAAATGCTCAAACAATTTGCTCTGATCATTTGGAGAAAAATTATTACCAAGTTGATAAAATGCGTACATTTGTGTACAGCTAGAATCTTGTATCCGAATGATCTGGTAAAAAAAACAAAGACTCTTGTATCCGAATGGAGTCTCAAAATAAAATAGGCTTTTCTGAACGAGCTGTTATCTTACAAAACAAAATGATAGACTATAGCTAGAGATATAGTAGGGTTGCGGTTTAAGAGTTTAAAAGTAAGAAGAAATGTCATACGTTTGATAGTTAAATTAATGGACAATTATGAGAATTCACAAGGCCGCCCATAAAATGTCGTGAAATTTTGGGTCAATATGCATTAGAACCGTTTCTGGCTATGCCTTCTCAACAAATCTTGTAGTGTCAAAAGGAACATGTGTATACAATAAAACTTTTCAGTGCCTGACGCTGTTGTGGACTCCAATGTTTCAGACGAATCAATCAAATAAACTTGCACGTATGCTACAAACGGAGTCTATTAATTAAGTTGTACGTAATTATCTTAAGCAAGTGGAACTTACACATGTTGAATGATTGTTAGAGGTTCCTGGGCAATAGAATTAGTCAACAACACACAGGTATGAAGCTTCATATCCTATCTTTAATTATCTTCGAAATTAAGTCACTGGTAAACCGGGTTCCATTCTTTTAAATAAGGAACAAATAAAACGTAAATCGAAGTAAAGGCGTGTTTTCACAAATAAGAGGCATTGGTTTAGAAATGTCTTGAAGATTCAGAAATGGAGGACAGGTGGTTTCCTCTTTTCTTCCACTACCGCAGGTCTGGATGGAAGGAGTTTCCATAAATAGGATAGGAAGCAGAGAAAGTTGACTTGGACTTTGCTGTAATGATGCAACGGTGTGAGAAAGTTTTGACGAGTGGTCTTTGAACTCTTTGCGTTGCGTGTCTATGCATTATTATTTCTGAAAATGTAGTGCTTCCCAATGTTATCAGAGCATCTGGTCTTTCCTCATTCCGGGATAATCAACACATATATAAACATACGTACTAATCCAAAAAATATGCCATCGTTAGCTTATTACAATAATCTTGTATGTAATTGCTTTTCAAAGCGCGCACAATCCGTGCTTAATTCTAGCATATCTTACGTTATATGATTTTTCTAAAATATTTACGTGTATCATTAGATTATATATTAATTTATAAGTAAGGTAAATTAATTTTAAAAAAAATGATAAATATCAATATTTTAAAATAATTTAGTAACTTTCTTAATCTTTTCAAATTAGTTAACTAAGTTTTATATTAAGAACGGAGGATAGTAATTAAAACGAATATCTTGTATATTTGCATGAGACTCAGAATAAATCAGCATATGATGGATC